AAGGTGGTGACTCGGCACTCTGACATTACTTCATTACTCTTAAAACAATTTCCTCAACAAAACCTAGTATCAATATCACTAGGGTTTATTCTAATGTTAGCCACAACTAATTAATAGTCTAGGTATTATTATTATTATTATTATTATTATTATTATTATTATTATTATTATTAGTATTATTATTATTATTATTATTATTATTATTATTACTATTATTATTATTATTATTATTATTATTATTATTATTATTATTATTATTATTATTATTATTATTATATAAGCGCTAACACAATAATTTTGACCCACTATATACAGACAAAGCCAGACATGGAACACCGGAGGGCATGATCATTTCGGCATAAAAGCACTTCTGAATCCAGTAACCAAAGCGGCCCTCCAAACCGGAACCCCCGTACCGCGAGTGGTTAAAAAGACATTATAACGACACTTATATAACTCATAATAATAGTCTAAACACTTATTATAAGTTCATAATAACTTTACTATATTGAAACATAAGTTATACTAAAGATAGGGTATGTATAACTCACTTACAGCAGGTTTCCTTGGAAACCGGGCTCCACCGGAGCAGAGTTTCTGAGCCGGAGGCTCTTCTCTTCTGAGCCGTCAGGTGCTCTGGAAGCCTCGGGGCTTCCTTCGGGTGCTAGGGGATTTACCTAGAACTTTAGGGGGCTTAATGGAGGCTAGAGAGAGAAAGTGAAGTTGGATGGTGTGGAGAATGAAGGGAACCCGGAACCTCTATTTATAGGGAGTCTGGCAGCTCAACTCGTTGAGTTCATGGCCAGATGTCAGCATTCTGGTGGTGACACGTGTGTGGCTCACATTGCGCCGCGTCACCCCTTTTGCAGCAGCACCCTACTGGCTTCTAAACCTCGTAGCTTTCGCATACGAGCTCCATTTTTTACATTCTTTTTTTCCACGCGTAAGTAAAAACAAGATCTACAACTTTTATTTAGACTCCGTCGGCTAATTCTCGACTGATCTTAAATTTAACAGTAGAAGGAGATTAGGCTATTAAATTACCGCGAAGAATTTGTAACTCCTTCATACGGACTCCGTTTTCGTCTGTCTTTTTACCATTGAGTTCATATTTATAAGATCTTAACCTCTCATTTAGGCCACGTGGGCCAAAAACCGCTCAAACTAATATTCGAGTTTCGGGTCGTGCACTGCTAAGCCAAATCTTGGAAAATTCAAACTTCCTCATACGAAGTCAGATTTGGGCGTTCTTTTTTTGTATGTTCTCGGTTTAACGTACACTACAACTTTTGTTTAGATTACTAAGGCCAAAAAGTCTTCTATCATAAATTCACTATTTACGCTTCCCGGTACTGTGCTAGTTTTGCCGCGAAAGTTCGACGGGCCATAACCTCTTCGTTATAACTCGGATTTCGGCGTTCTTTATATGTATGGAAACCTTGAGACTTATTCTACAACTTGGTTAAGATTATTTATTCTAAATAATCATTTTCCGAAAAGTCATTTTCGACACTTATTGTCTCTAAATTGACTAGCCTGGATCTACGGGCGTTACAGGGGAGGAAGGCAAGGATTTCAATCCTTGTAATTTTTGAAATTATGGAGGGTTAAGGAAACCCTATATTTCTAAACTTGTAGGGAAAGGGAAAGGGTTAAAACCCTTTCTTGATTTATGAAACTTAGGACTTAAGGAAACCCTGATTTCGAAAATCCCTAAGTCCAAAAGGGTTTAATTGCCATAAACCCTAATTGATCAGATTTAACAATTGAAATCAACTTAATAGAAAACAAGCCAAGGCTCTGGTACCACTGATGGGTTTTACGCATGAAAAACAAAACTTATGTGTGCATGGAACCCTAATTTTCTCAATCTATGTTTTCTCTAATTCAACATACAACATTTGAACATCAATTGGGAAACCCTAATACTACTAGTATAATTTAATTAATCACTAATAGGGTTAGGAAAACATACCTTAGTTGTTATATAGCAATAACAATGAAATCCTAGTCTTCTTGAACTTTGAGAGCAAGTGACAAGTGTCACGACTCTAGTGGTTCACATCCAATACAAGAAAGAGGATGAGAGAGGTGAGAGGTGAGGAGTGCTAGGAATTTCAGCTATTCTTTAAGGGTTTCAGGTGGCCAAAAATGTGAATGGATAATGTTCTTTATATAGGTGAGGTAGCTTAGAGTCAAAGCTATGGTTTTAGGAGGAAACCCTAATCCCTTAGCTTAAGGACCAAGCAACACAAGAATCCGCATCCAAGAGCCCTTGGACAAAAAATCTAGGGCTTTTCTAGAAGTTTTCATCCAACCTCTTCGAAGGAGGTTCTAGAGCCTCTCTCCTTAACTATCACTAAATTTCCAAATAGCCATTACACTTTTAATTAATTCAATTAATCCCAAAAGTAATTCCAAATAATTTTTGATTAATTAATACTTAAATAATATGATTTCTAATAAATATATTATTCTCATAATATATTAACAAATCATTTATTTTAATTTATTAATCAAATAATAAATTCAACCTCTCTCTCCAAAAGTCATCTTGTCTAATTGCTAGTTTTGAGGGAAACCCAAAAGGACTGTGCTACCATCAATTCAACTATATATCAATTATAGTTATGGGCTTAGAAACCTAATCCAACAAAAATGCCTAGCATCACCTATGTCGCACTCACCATTTCCTAGGTTGTGGTAAATCTTCATTATCAAATTTGAGTTCTTATAATATACACATCTTTTCACTTCTATTGTAGCTATCTATAACATTAATTTTCTGGATTGATCAGATAAATACAATAGACAATGAGGAAATGGTTTTGAGGAAAACCTTTAGCCATGGTACGATAGCTAGGGTGTCACGATACGGCTATTTGTTTAAGTTATGGCGTACTTTTGTTCATGTTCATTATACGATAGCCGCCACATCCCAAGACGCTAGGTTTTGGGCCTTAGGCCCTCCTTAAGTAAATATATGTTTAGGGTTTGCTCTATCTTTAGTCTCTTTTATCAAGAGAGAAACCCTGATTCTTGTGTGTGCCTTATGTGCATGTTCTTGGTGTTTTGAGCTTGGAAGAGCATTGGAAGGAGAAGATGCTTATTGCTTGAAGTGTGTTTTATACATTAGATCTTATATCTCTTGCATCTTCTGGAGTTAGAGAAGGTATGAAGCTCATACCTTTTGAGTTCTTAATCTTGTATTATGGATGAAATCTTTGTATTGGTGCCTTTTATGAATTCCTTGGGAGTTAGAAGAACTCCATAGTTTTAGAAAGGATTACTTGTCTTATGGACCTTTTTGAGTTGGAAAAACGAGATGTTTTGCACCATGTTTGAAAGTTGCACGAGTTATCATCATCTTGGGTTAATTGAAAAGTTAGGGTTTGATTTTTATACTTGGCTTGATGGTGTAATGGATAAAGTCGGGAACTTTATCCATTAAGTACTTAGAAGCTTCAGATCTAAGATTTTGAGCTATGGACATTAAGGGTTAAGAGAATAATGGATTAACTTGTTGGAACGTCAACCGCGACATGGTGGATTGCAAGTCAAGCCAAGGGTCGCGATATCCATTTGCGACTATTTTGATATTTAGTGTATGCGACACATAAATGGTTTTTGGTTACAGCAAGAGGTCGTTCACCATTGACTTTTAAATGGTCAAACTTTGGGTCATACTTAGAGGTTTTTAGTTATAGAATAAGGTAAGAATCGTTATTGGTTTACGCAGTTCATGTACCTAGTTCTTTGACACTTTGAGAAGTGGCTTCAACTTTTCATTCATGACAAGTCTTCTCACTATATTGTATGACACTAGATTTCATGTTATGCTTGTTATCTTTGTGACTCTGCTTACTTCTATGTTATATGCTTGTTAGGCTAAACAGCCCTATTAGGTTGAAACAAACCCATTAGCTAAAATAGGCTATTGGGTTGAAACAGACCCGTAGACTGAAACATGTAGTTATTTATATTTGATGTGGTATCTTTGGTAAATTACTAAGCTTTGTGTGTTCAGTTTTAAGTTTAAATGTTGCAAGTTGTTCTATAAGCAAAGGGAAGGGCGTGACTCGATTGTTGTAAGTCCCTAAACTCGGATCTTTTCAAGGTATCAATGCAATTGTTTGAGTTAATGCGGAATCATGATCAAACAAACATGCAAAACAAACAATTAGATAAATCAATTAACATGTTTCAATTAATGCACACAATTCTATTGAACAATTGTCAAGTACATTCAATCTCATTTCAGCCGTGAGTCGCTAGAATACTCCAAAAACGCATTGACCTAGAACAGCTAAACAGATAGCATATTTATACTAAATCAATAACATAAAGCCCAAACATAACAAGCCCACCAAAAACACACTAAGCCCACTAGTGATTTCGGTCCAAAACAAGAACACATAATACAAAGCATAAACCACAAAATATAGTCCAAAAATATCCCTATTGGTTTATTGCTTTCTGTTCTCTTCAGGGTTTCTCCTACAAGATGCACATCCGCTTGGTCAAAAGCTCCCACCCATAGTTTATTGTCAATTATTATGGCTACCATCCCAGTGAAGGCTTTTGCAGCAGCCTCAAAAAGTTCATTCTCAACAGTTATTTGAAAGCTTGACAAAGTGTGGATATCGTGTTCTCCAAACTTCAACAGATCTTTGGGATCAATAATGTGAAACTGGTTTTTCTTCAGCTTGATTACCACTGTTGCAGTAGCTTCATCAAAAACCTAGAATTTCATTGTATCCAAAGTGCCTTCAGGTAAACATTTGGAAAGAGGAATTTGTTCGGCTTGCTTTGTAGTTGGCCACATTACATTCACCAAAGTTTTGTTTGTGTGGGGATCAATGAAACCCTTGACCTTCTTGGTGAACGATGAAGCAGTTTTTAAATCTTCAAAGTTATTTTTCTCTTTGACTTCAAGAAAAATATTAAAAGACCAGGCCATAGTATCATCGGTTGGATTGTGGAAAGGTGCATGGATGAGTTCAAGAAGATCCTGTCCAGGATAAGAAGTCGACTTTCTTCTCATAATATTCAATTCGCCCACTTTTCCGCTTTACGATCCACATTTTCTTATCAGCATCATATCCCCAGATCAAAATGCCAGAACATTCCCCATATTTATCTGTGAATTTCTTCCCAGTCTCCTTAATGACCGTCTCAAGATGATCACCTGGAGCATTTTGGTCTGAATGCTTCATCACGAGCATTTTCCCTTTCAGCTGATCAACCTTGATTTGTTTCTCCCTTCTTTCATGAGCAGTAATAGGACCAAAAGATAAGAATGAATCAAGGTTAGCATCAGGAGCAGGTCTTAAAACTCTTTCACTAGAAAACTATGAAGTTGGATCGGCAACACCTGAACTAGAAGCAGAAATCTTTTCTCCTTCAGCGCTTAAAGGTTGAAATTCATCACCAAACTTTTGATGTAAGTGATGTTTCAGGTCAAAGAATAAAGTAATTAAACCACCATGATTTGCTTAAAGTTTTGAAATATTTGCATTTTTAATGGACTTCTTCTATTCAAGCTCACTGATTCTAATGTCCTGCTTTCCAATAAGCAAATCCTTTTCAGCTGAGCTTTGTTCCAAATCAAAAACTATGTTCTGAAGCAAAGGGACATTCACAAATTCATACTTAGGTAGCTTGTTTTTGCCTTTTGAAATGTCCAACTCGGGGGGGGGGGGGGGGGGGGGGGCTTCAAAGAAGATTCTAGAAGCTTGAGCTCGTTCGGAAGGAAAGACTTCCTGAATAATAAGGCTTTGAAAATCTTGATCCATAGGAGTGGACTTAGGTAACGGGCTTGAAAGCTCTTGTATCACTGGAAACGACTCAATGAATGGGCTTTGAATGTTTTGATCTATATGACTAGGCTTAATCAAAATAGATATATTTTGAACTGGGTCTATGATAAGCACTCCCAATCTTGTATCTCTTCTATTTATTTTCCTCGGGAGTAGAGCGTAGGGTGACTCTTCTTGATCACTCTCAGATGGAGGTTCAATGTAACACTAACTAGTTAGGGAGGCTTCATCGCAGTTCGCTGAAGTTCTACAATAAGAGAATCCGCCTATTCAGTGGTTGGTATGGAGGAGCGAGTTTCATCCTCTTCAGGGATTGAAATACTTTATTGAATAAATTCTTCAAACTCATTCTCTGTCAATTCCTTTTCTTGAACCTCTTCTTCTTCATCATCAGATACTTCAACCTCTTCAAAGGCAAATTGAAATTTTGGCTTGGACGCCACATGTTCCTCAACAATCTCAACATTAATTAAACTAATAACCAGAGTCTCTTCAACCTCAACAAACTTTCCAAATCTAACCATCTCCTTTAGTCCTTCATAGGCAAATTTAGCGGCCTTTCTTCATTGCTTAATGAGTCCAAAAGTGTTAGGACCCTAGGCCTTCATATCCAAAGTATCAGACAACCTCTCAATTTGGGGATATTTTTCATTAAACATCATTTGAAGGAACCTAGGATACATCAAGTGTCCTTCTTCTTCCCTTTAAGGTTGCCTTTCATTTCTTCAAGAACAAAGTTTGAAAAGTTGTAATCCCAGTTCATTGCTAAAGCGATAATAGTTGAGGTAACAGTCTGACTAATTTCATCAGATCCTCCCTTCGTTCCAGAAGTGCAAATCACAAAGGTGTGCCAGAAACCTCCAGTAAGGTAGCAGTAGCTTCTTGATGGTTGGAGGATAGGTTCCATCATAACACATCTTCTCCAGAAGTTCATTGACTTGATCAGCGGAGTACTTAATTGGAAATGCAGAAGCACCACCAAATTCAAGAACTTCTCGAATAACTTGTTCAGAGATTATTACTTGTGTTCCTTTCACCATCGATTCAATAGTACCAGCTCCATCTGCTCGCAGCTTGTTGATTGAAGCATTTTTCTAGAATCCAGTAATTAGGTCTTTGTGGATGACTGGATTAGCACGAAGGGCTTGAGAAATCTTACAGTTGTTCACACCCACCATCATGGATTTTAATTCTTGATGAGCAGCAGGTGGATCCATAAGATATCTAGCAACATTGTAAGAGTCTACAAATTTAAATTGCTCTGCCATTTATTTGCACCAAACTAGCCAAGTGAGAACTAATTTAAAATTAATTAAACTGAATTTGAAATTTGATTTTGGTTAAAGTCAAAGTTTTAATCGATTTCGGTCAAAGGAAAAGTTTAAGTCGTTTTCGGTTAAGATCAAGATTTCAAACGATTTCGATCAAAATTGATTGATTTCAGTCAAGGCTGATTGACTTCGGTCTAAACACTTTTGATCTGACATTTTCGGTCAACGCTGGATTATTTCGGCCGAGAACCCAATTTTTGGTCAAGTCTTCATTTGATTTTAGTCGAATCTAGGTTAAACCAAAAACCTGGAATCTTATCGGAACCTGTTCCAAATTAGTTCTTCGAAAAACCTTGAAAAATCTCTCGAAAACCTACAAATCCATGGAACTGAGTACACAAAAAACAACTTTAAATAATATTGCCATGATCGAAAATCAACAATACCTGAATCACCGAACAATTTTACAACAGAACAACGAATGAGAAGGATTTTGCAGAAAACCAAAAGGGGTTAGAGAAAAACATCGATGATGATGATGATGGCTATTTGGGGTTTTTCGGTGAAAAACCTAACCTACCGAAAACTAAGTATATATATGACCAAGAAAAACCCATATGGCCCACTTAATCTGATTTCGGCTCATAAAAAAAATAACCCAAATGTTAATAAAAAGAATTTCTTTCGATTTTACGTTTCAAAAACTAACTACAAAAATTAGAATAAAATTAAACACCTTTTTTAATTAATTTTTTAATTTTTAATTTTTAATTTTTAATTTTGTTTTTATTTTATTATTTCTTCCCCTAAATTTGTGCACAACAATGAAAATATGTAAATATTAAAATAAAAATAAAAATGTAATCCAAAAAAACTTTTGGGATTAAACGTTATGGAGAAAATTAATGAGGTTTATCAGCACACATGTTCATGAAAAACTTTGGTCAATCATTGATATTGTCATCCACTTAAACACAAAGGAGATATTTATGGACAGATCACGAGTGACGATATATAGCTACTATATTCCTAGATAGACCATTTTGTCTGACGACGATCATGGATATTGTTGTCCACTTAAATTTAGCCAGTAAAATCTACTAGTTAACCTTTTAGTTATGAGTGTAGTTAATGTTAGCACACTAGAACATGTTCCCCACCTCATAGCATACCCCAGTAATCAAGGAAATTTCTTCGGAATCCTTAAATTTAGGTGAGTAGATAATCATTGTGGAATGCATATGTTGTGTCCCAGGTCGGATCTACCGATCACGCAGAGGGGACAACATATGACTAACATAGAGAGTAGGATATTTGATATTTGTAGGTGACAATATATTGACATAAAAGCAATGAACATCATCTAAGTACATATGTTGTGTCCCAGGTCGGATCTTCCAATCACACAAAGGGGACAACATATGGTTGACTAAGAAAGAAAGAATAACGATTTTAAACAGACCCAATTTATCATTATCCCTTAGTCACCCCCTATCAATACCAAAATTAAGGACCCAAGTCCATACACCAATGAAGTGTTGAGCCACAAATCTAGATGATAGTTAGCTTCAATTTGTGTCAGAGGCCTCCTTGTCTATTTTACTGTTAAATCTATCCAAGCGTCGTATTGTCAGTCCAAATGAGGTTTTATAAGTTCAATTTAGTCCACAATGTCTAGTCCATTAGACTCGGTCCTTTATACCTACCAACACATTGAACACAAAATTTAGACAATTCAGCTTTACTGCTTTACACGTATTTCGTTTGCCAATTATCACTAATCCATCAAATCTCACCTAACCACTCAGATCGGGGTAGCCCCGTCAGATGCCATGAAAAAGGAAAACAGAGCAAACGAAGCAGTACGCGGAATGGAGAAGAATCTAGAGGTAAAGGAGAACGTAGTATACTATTTCATGAACCGTATTTGGGTCCCTAAACTCGGAGGATTTAGGGAGGTAGTCATGAATGAAGCTCACAAGACGCGATACTCCATCCATCCAGGTTCGGACAAGATATACATGGATATTAAACAACATTATTGGTGGCCTAACATGAAGGCAGAAATTGCCACCTATGTCAGCAAATGTCTCACTTGCGCCAAAGTAAAGGTGGAGTACCATAAGCCCTCAGGGTTATTACAACAACCGGTGATCCCCGAGTGGAAATAGGAAGGGATTTCCATGGACTTTGTGACCAAGCTACCCAAGACATCGGATGGATTAGACACTATATGGGTAATAGTTGACCGACTGACGAAATCCGCCCATTTCCTGCCAATAAAAGAATCCTACAAGATGGAGAGACTAACACGATTATACATTCGAGAAATCGTGAGACTTCACGGAGTACCAGTGTCTATCATCTTAGATAGAGACAGTAGATTTACTTCACATTTTTGGTAATCACTTAAGAAAGCACATGGAACCCATCTCGACATGAGCACCGCTTATCACCCACAAACGGACGGTCAAAGCGAGCGAACCATCCATACACTCAAAGATGTGCTTCGCGCATGTGTGATAGACTTTGGGAAGTCTTGGGATACCCACTTACCCTTAGTTGAATTCTCGTATAACAACAGTTATCATTCGAGAATCAAAGTCGCTCCTTTCGAATCACTATATGGACGTAAGTGTAGATCACTGTTGTGTTGGGCTGAGGTGGGCGACACCCAGCTAGCAAAGAAACTGGCATCAGACAAGGCGTTAACGGGGCCGGAGATCATGCATGAAACCACAGAAAAGATAGTTCAAATCAGAGCTCGACTACAAGCATCGCGTGACCAACAAAAGAGCTACGCTGATAAATGGCGAAAGCCCTTTGAGTTTCAGGTCGTGGATCGAGTACTGTTAAAAGTTTCACCCTGGAAAGGGGTCATTCGTTTCAGAAAACGGGGAAAACTGAACCAACGATACATTGGACCTTTCAAGATCGTTGCCCGAATAGGTCCAGTGGCATACAAACTGCAACTACCCGCTGAGCTCAGCAGTGTACACCCAGTGTTCCATGTTTCCAATCTAAAGAAGTGTCTGTCGGATGAAACTCTCGTCATTCCCCTTGATGAGCTTGAGATCAACGAGAATCTCCTGTTCGTTGAGGAACCAGTCAAAATCATGGACAGTGAGGTGAAGCGTACTAAACAAAGTCGCATCTCGATCGTGAAAGTACGGTGGAACGCGAAGCATGGACCAGAATTCACGTGGGAGCACGAAGACCAAATGAAGCAAAAGTACCCTCACTTGTTCTAGCATTCTCAAATCAAGATTTCAAAAGAATATCTGGACAAAATTCCCTTTAACGGGGAGATGATGTTACAACTACAAATTTTTGTGCCTTATAACTACAACACTTAAGTCAAATTGTGAATCAAATGCATAAGAGCATGTATGATGCATACTCTATGACAACAAAATTTCAAACAAACACCCCATGCAAGCATTTCAAGTAGTCAACAAGTAATTGGAAACCCTAGGAGTTCTTATTTAAGTCCATTTTGGACTAGGACTTCCTTCTTGGGCCCAATGGACCAATAATCTTCCAATATGACTATCTTGGGTTTAGAACTCTTAAATGGGCTCTAATTGGACCCACTTCCATGTATTTCAATATTTTGGGCCATGTTGGGCCTAGAATGAAATAAATTAATTATATGAACCATTTTGGGCCATGATTAACCTAATTTAGCCCTAATAGGTCATAAGACTCACATTTATGATTATTTGGACCAAACATCACTTAACAAAAATATAATATAGGCTTAGGGGCAAAAAGCCCAAAAATATTCTCTTTCCCTCTCCATTCTCAGCTCAAGCCCACAAAGAGGAAGAGTTGACTATGTGTGTGTGCCACCTCACAATTGCCTAAAGGATTTCCATGCATTTCCCATACTTCCATGCAAGCACTCTCTTCTTCTCCCTCTCTCTCTTCCTCTCGGCCGAATCCAAGAACACACACACACACATTTCACTCAAAATTCTCTCAAGAAACTCTCTCATTTCCCCTCCATATTTTCGAGATCTAAGAAGTGTTCAAGGGACTTCTTCCATAAAAATCATCATCTAAGGTAAGATATTGCTTAGATCCATAAGCTAGCTACTTTATTTCCTTCAAAATTCACCTCTTAATTCATTCAAACTTATGATCTAGCACCTAAGAAGCATCCAAGTTCGAGATCTTCCAAGAAAGGTTGCTAGGATCGAATTCTTCTTATCTTTTCCTTCCAAAAACCGAAACCACACCCAAGGTGAGCT